GGATGCCAGCAAACTGTAAAGAGACGCCTAAAGACCAACCAAGCTTGGACAGGGGACGAGTGACAATAAACACGGTAACACCTTCTTTAAGAAGCCTGCAAACTTCTCAATTCTCTCCAGCACAGCACGCCGAACCGACAGCAGTATAGCTGAGAGGATCAGGACTGAGGCCAACCAGAATAGTAAGAACCAATTAGTAAAAGCAGGCTAACTTATGCAGGGGTGAGGGGGGGTAGATCGTTCCGCAGGGAAGTAATCAATGCCGTCCACTCGGGCCTCTCAGCCATAATGGGGAGGAACGTGTGTGAGTATCCAAATGTATTACATATTGACTTGCCGGGGGAATAGGAACCGGACTGTCGCTCCCCAGAATGGTAGGAGCCAGAACCAGATGGTTCTGTTATTCAAAAAAAAAAACAAAAAAGAAAAAAAAGAAAGTGAGCTATCGGTGTGCGAGAGCATACTGTCACTGGGACTTCCCACTGTTCGCAGGATGCATCTGACTGATATCACAGCCCCTACAGGATGTATCTGGCCGCAATTTTGTGCACAGACCAGTGGACAAAATTGTCAAGTGAGTATGCCGTGAGATGCACAGAATTCCTGCCTGACACAGTGGAGAATTGGAATTTCTGACAATAAAAGAGAACATGTGTTGCATACTCGTGAAACACAGTCCTAAGTATGGCGCAGATTCCCAGAACCGACCAGATAATACAGAGTTGATACAAATACAGCGGAAGAGTTGATACCCATGGACTGACTCTGACCTGACCCGGACTGCAATTGACACTCTCAATCATTCATCAGGGGTGTGAAAGCCCTGGCCTTGGACATAGACGAAAGGCCAGGGTCTGAAATCATCCACGGACGAATGGAGGGAGGAGAGAGATGAAGGGAAGAGGAGAGGGAAGATGACGTCAACTCAACGTTTCCAAAGATAGTATTTTGAAATGTCAGAGATGTCGAAAGTCCGAAATGTCGTGAATACAATGTCCCACAATGTCTCAGATATCGATCTCACAATGTCAAGTACATCTCCAGAGGCAGATGAAATCAGATCCCACAAGTAGTCCTCAACCTATAGTCCCAATGTCGCTGTCTCCAATGTCATCAGAATTCGTAACCATCTTTCATACTCATCGTAGTCCCGTAGGAGAACTCAGAAGTAGTCTTAGACTGAGAAGGTAGGAGGAGAGAGAGAGAGAGAGAGAGGCCGCGGACTGGGCCGGTGGCTGGCGCTGGTCCTGCTGTGCTGGTTCCTCCTCGCCGCTGCGTTGGTCTCTCCTCGCTGCTCGCTCTAACGCTGCTGCGCTGCGCTAATCTCCTAACGCTGAAACGCTGCGCTAATCCTGAAGACTAACTCCAACCTTTCTAACCTTCGGTCCATACTAACCCCCTACTGAGGCTGGTACCCAGCCTTTTGTAGTGCTGGGCCGGCCTCCTACCTGCTGGTACCTACCGGCCTGGACCGTTGATCTGAATCGACGGTCCAGATTCGAACTGGATTTGGCGCCTAAACGCGGCAGCCTCTGAAACTTTGCCGCCGGTAGGTCCTATCTGGACCGGTACCGGCCTTGTGGCCGTTGGCCTGGGCCTCCATCCCTGGCCTGCCTGAACCGCCGTACCCCTGGCCTCATCTGAACCGTCGTCCCCTTAGGCCTACCCTGCCTACCTGGGAACCGGGAGAGAGAGGGAGAGTCAGAGCACACACACACACTCACTCAACTCCATGCAGACTGGACACGACTCGACGGACGCAGACGCCAAGTGGCAAAGTTGCAAAGTCGCAGTCTTGAATTCCCGAAAACAGTGTCAAAGCAAAGTCACACTGAACGCAAGCACTGCGGCTCAAAACTGGCTGCCGTACTGTGCTGGAGTCCATACTTAAGTACCGGACTCAAGTATGGTTCTGAGAGCAAAAGTGAAAATGCCGCAGGGCCAAAACTGAAAATCGAAAGTCTGAGAATGGTGCCAAGTGTCTGAAATCTGTAAGTCCGAAAAGAAGGAATTTTGAAAACGGGCACCAGAATGCAGATGGCGCCAACTGTCGGAAATCGGAAAAGCAAAAACAAGGTAAAATAAAACAAAAGAATCCCTGGCAAAGGACCTTCTTTCGAAGACTCCGACCCCTTACTTTTTGGATAATATGGAAAAGAAGATGCAAGGAAACTATAGCTTCTCAATCTACATCAGAGCCAGAAGCTTGGCAGAACCCCCTTCAACTACTACAGGACGAATATCAAGCAGATTGGAAACAAAGCCGCAAAGCTCATAAAATTAGACCCGACAAGACAACAAGAAATTGTCGACAAGTTTAAAAAAGAAAGACTGGGGGATGGAAAGCCAGGAGACATAGAAGGCAATACTCCAAGGTTATTCTGGAAAATTGAAGGGACCCAACAGCGAGATCAACAGGAGGAGACAGAAAACCTGATGTCACTAGTTCAGGACCATTCACAGGTAGTTAATTTGGGAGTGGTATAAAAGAAAGGACACTTCAAAAGGGTTTTGAATGAAGGGTTTAGGGTTTAAGATCCAAAAAGAAATCAAACAAGGGTTTTTTAAGTTTTCTTCAGGATTTCATATGCATTCCGATAAACTCCGGTAAATCACACTTATCTGACAGTTTCAGCACTGAGAGGAGTACATCATAGGGACTGGTATTGGACTTAGTACAGGCTAGCTTATGCAGGGGTGAGGGGGGGTATATCCTTCCTGAGGAAAGTAATCAATGCCGCCCTCTCCGTCCTCCCAGCCATAATGGGGAGGAGCGTGTGTGCATCAATTATGTATCTCCATTTCGACTTGCCCGGGGAAAGGAACCGGACTGTTGCTCCCCAGAATGGCAGGAGCCAGAACCACGAGGTTCTATTGTGTAAGAAAAAAAAAAAAAAAAAAAGAATCGTAAAAATAAAATAAAAAATAAATGCACCAAGCTGGCGGGTGGTAACCCGCAGACCAGGGATAAAGCCCTGGCGGAGTCCGTAACACTATCCCCTCCCTCTAGAAGGCAATGTACCGGCTGCCAAAAGTCGTGAAAATAATGCTGAATCCTGTGAAGGACGGGACGGGGCCGATCTCTGGGAAGCAGGAAAAAAAGAAAGGGAGGGGGGTATAATGTGGGTAACAAGGGCTGGGGGAAGCAGGATTTTCCTACTGCTGAGCTACAGGGCATGTGAACTGATGGACTACTGAGAGGGAACAAAGTTTGCCTACTAATGGACTACAGGGTTGTGATCTGAGGGGGCAACAAAAGGGTTCTGTGAGCAAAAATAAAGAAAGGAAAATTATTTTGCAGTGTTCCGGGATTGGGGTTGCTGAGGATCTCGAGGTGAATGGGGTTGGGGAAGAAATCGCAGGTTCTGCAAAATGGTCTGGCTGAGAGTCTTGAAGCAGGTCTTGAAGTCAGTCCAGGTACAAAACCCTGATGATAAATCAGTCTTCAAAAGGCTTGCAATGTGTAGTAGCAAGGGTTCCAGCTTGAAAGAAGTAGTGTAGCAGTCCAATAGATGAAGGTCCAAATGCCAGGGTGTGTCCTGTACACGATCCTGATGATGAAGTCTGATCCGGAAAGCAGGTCGCAGACAGATCCTGATGTCCATGTCAAGAGTGCTGCTCCAGAAGTCTGCGAGTCCAGGTGCCGGCCAATGGGACAGCATGGTGGCCAACCAGCTGTTTAATCTCCTCGAACTGTGCTGCAGCAGGCCATCGTCCTCGTGCGCTTGCCATTAGATCCTTTATCGCCAGCAATGCGCAGGAGCCACAGGTAAGGTTTGGACAAGAGAGACAGAGGATGTGGCAGAGGACAAATTGGGGAACGAGACGGAGGCAAGAGCGGATCAGAGAGGGAGAGGTTGAGGGGCAGGGGTTTTGCTGGGTGCAGGGTGTGTGTGTAGAGCAATGAGGCAGGGTTTATGCAGGGGTATATGGGTGTTATGAACTTGGTTGTTTGACAATTCGATTGCCACTCACACAAAGACACACTCACACACGCCCATACATGCATGAGAGAAAGGGGAGGAAGAGACAGAGTCCACCTGCACACAGACCAGAGATAAACAGCGGAATAGC